AGACAGACAGACAGGTAGACAGACCGACAGACAGACAGACAGACAGACAGACATGCATACACTGTATACATACACACACGGACACACACGCGCGCGCACACACGCACACAAGGTATACCCACACACACTCTATGAACTGCATATTACACACACACACACACACACACACACACACACACACACACACACACACACACACACAAACAAACACACACACACACACACACACACACACACACACACACACACAAAAAAAATAAGAGATCATCAATCTATAGATATCGAAACACAGGGTAAAAAAAGAAGAACCGAAAAAAGAAGATAGAATTTTGCTCGGTGGTGGCTTTGAATTCTCTAAAAAGCTTAATTTTGTGCTAAATATAAATATGTCTTTACTACCGTTCAGTATAACGTCCATTTTGTTTAGAACTAGACGCAGTGAAATCACGAGCTACTTGAAATCAGATAACAAGATTCAGATCAGAACAAGTGTCTGGAGTTTACGTGGTATAGGCAATAACTCCAGGATGTTTTGTTTAGTTTTAGTAAGAGATTAACGGTACAACACTTATGCAACATATCAATTTTATAAAGATGAATAATTAATGTTGCACCATTTGACACACTAATTAATTGTTCATCTATGATAAGAGTCGCCCGAGATATGGTCACTCAAAATCAACCTTTAAAAATCATGCCTGACAAAACTTACAATACAGTAAAGCTTTACCAAATGCAATTCTTTGAATATCTTAACAACAACTCAGGATAATATTACGATTTTGATAGAGCAGGTAGAAGATTCGGTTTCTGACATCATCATCATCATCATCATCATCATCATCATCATCATCATCATCATCATCATCATCATCATCATCATCATCATCATCATCACCATCATCTGCGGCAGACATCGGCGATCATGGTTCTCCATTGATTCCTTTGCTCAGATACTCTTTTTAAAAAAGCTACGTTACCCTGATCTTTCCCCGTTACCCATTCGTTTAGATTCTCTAAGTAGGTTGCTCTATGCCTACCCCTGCCTCGTTTGCCTTCAATTTTGCAAGTGAGAGCTAGATGTTCAAGACCTTTGTGTCTATTCAGGTGTCCCAAAAAAACAGCATTTGTCTTTTCCCGATTGTTTTTAACAGTGAGCGTCCCACGAGTGGGCTCATGGCCATGTAATATAATTCAAAGAGGCCAAGAATGTCGGGAAAAAATTTGTTTAATGCCGAGACAGCGAAATGGCACCTTTACTTTCACCTCCCAGCATCACGATGGATTCAAAGCACCAACTCTTTCATAGCATCCAATCGTCACTGTGCTACCAAGTCCAAACATTAGCTTGTTAGTAAGAGTTTTACGGCAATTGCGACACAGTAACGTCATATAAGTGCCCAAGTTTAGAGGTGTTACAAAGAGACAACAATTACAAAAATTACGGAGAGACAAGGACGAAATGTGCTTGGTAGGAAAGAAGAAGCAACCCACACCAGATCACACGAAAACCGCTCAAATCACAAGACTAGAAGAGACAGGGTGAGAAACGAAATAGTTTGTTTTTTTTAAGTTGGCTCAACTCCCTGCTTACAGTACATATATTTAAAAGAACGAATGAAATGGTGTGGACATTTGTCAAGAGTAGCAACACAGATAGTATAGCACCGAGAGCATACAACCAGAGAGTTTGATACAACCAGAGATCAGACGGACACACAGGAAGAGGCAGGCCAAGAAAAAGATGGGTAGAAAGGGGGG